CTGAGATCAGAGTGAAGAGAGGAGCCAGGAAGGCAGTTCCATCTTGTATCCTGCGCTGTGCTTATAATATAATATAATATAATATAATATAATATAATATAATATAATATAAACATATAATATTGATATTATAATGTAATACAATATACCACTGATCATAATAAAATGATATTATAATTATATATTTTATATTAAATGTAATATTACTAATAATATTACTGTATAATGTAATAGTACAATGTAATATATAATAATAATATTGTGCTATGATAATAATATAATATATTGTATTTACTTTTTACTTGTAAGCCGCTCCGAGTCCCATTCGGCGTGAGAAGGACGGCATATAAATGTCGTAAATAAAATAAATAAATAAATCTCCAGTAAAACAGAGACAGATCCTGGGATATGGGCCTGTCTGGATGCTCATCTCCTCTTCTGGGTCTGCCTTTTTGCCCTCGCACTTATCCCCAAGTCTTTCAGAGCATTCCTTCAGGATGACTTTCATTCCTTTCTCTTAGCAAGAGCCCAGCAAAGACATGGGAATGGCATCGGTGGACCAGAAACAAAACAGTAGCAAACATTTTAAGAATCTGCATGGACAGGCATTACAGCTCTGAAAAATAGGATATGTTTGAGAAAAGGACTCAATTAAAGCAGCAATCCACACTAAATCTTGAAGCAACAGCACAAGCAGAGCAAAATAGGACTGCCATCTAGTCCTTCTTGTTGATCAGCTCTGAATTCCAAGAGAACAAAATGAAAGCCAGATTAAGTAAGATTCAGCAGAATGATATGCCTCTCTAGAAATGTTCTAGGTCCTCCAGCTCAATTCTATGATAACTTCCAGAAGAAGCATATTGTAGAATTGCCTGGACGACCTAGAAAATTCTTTTTAAAAGATATATATTTGTCAAATGTCAGTAGATGAAAGTGGTCCTGAAGGTATGAGGGTCATATTGTAAATATTTAAACATGTTGTTGTTCATTCGTTCAGTCGTTTCTGATTCTTTGTGACTTCATGGACCAGTCCACGCTAGAGCTCCCTGTTGGTCATCACCATCCCCAGCTCCTTCAAGGTCAATCCAGTCACTTCAAAGATACCATCCATCCATCTTGCCCTTGGTCGGCCCCTCTTCCTTTTTCCTTCCATTTTCCCCAGCATCATTGTCTTCTCTAAGCTTTCCTTTTTTCTCATGATGTATTTAAACATAATCAAATATTTAAAAAATCACAAAACTACTTTGCTTTGAAGATTTTTGTTTTTAATTTATATTTTAAATCATTTTTGCTGCCAGCTTTTCATCTGCAAAGAACCGCCCAACTGAGCTGTTTCAAGTGGTCAGAAGACTATGTCAAACTGGTCTTTAAGGGGAAAATGCTGACTACTCAACAGCCCTTTGCAAATAAAGTTTCTCAGATTAGCTCTGACTTGGATGCCTTTGTTGATCCAGTGGATATAACCATGGCTCCTACTCATCCAGTGTTGTTGGAAACTTTTCAATTTGTGCAACCTGAAAATGTGGGCAGGCCCCACTGAAAAGGTGAGACCCACCACATATGTGCTAGACCTTTGTCGCTCCTGGCTCATTGAACAGGCCAGAGGGGACTGGCGGAGTAGGTTAGGGAAGTGATCAATGCCTCTCCAGTAGGACAGGATCTCAAACATGCCTGAAGGAGATTGTGGTAAGATCTTTTTAAAAGAAGCCCCATCCCGTGGTTCCTACTGTATTTGATAACTATAGATCATTCTCCATTTCTCCCTTTTCTGGGCAAGGTACTGGAGCATGCGGTGGCTTCATAACTCCAAGGGTTTCTGGTTGAAACCAATTATCTAGATCCATTTCAATCTGGTTTTAAGCCAGGTTATGGAACAGACAGCTTTGGCCACCTTGTTAGATGACCTATGAAGAGAACTGGAAGGGGAGTGTGTCCCTGTTGGTTCTCCTCAACCTCTCAGCAGCCTTCAGTACCATCAACCATGGTATCCTTTTGAGTCGTCTCACTGGGATGGGACTTGGAGGCACAGTGGCTCCATTTCTTCCTGGAGGGGTGAGCCCAGAAAGTGGTGATTTGGAGTGCCATGCCATCTATATGCAGATGACACCCAACTCTACTAATTTTCACCTAAAGCTAATGTGGTCCTAAACCAGTGCCTGTCATCAATAATGGGCTAGATAAGGGCAAAAATCCTGAAACTTAATCTGGGCAAGAGAGAGGTGCTTCTGGTAAGTTAAAAAACAGATTAGGAAATAGGGATTTGGACTGTGTTAGATGGGGTTACACTCCCCCCTGAAGACACAGTACTCCTGGACTCAATGTTGAACCTGGAAGCACAGGTTTCTGCAGTGGCCAGGAGTGCCTTTGCACATACCTTGAGATGCTAGATGTGGCCATGGTGATATATCTCATTTAAATTACTGTAATGAACTCTACATGGGGATGCCTCCCAGTCCAAAGAGTTGCAGCCAGATTACTAACCAAGGCTGGCGAAAGGGACTGCATGACTTCCCTGCTGCAACAGCTCTAGTGGCTGCCAGTCTGTTTCTAGGAACAATTCAAAGTGTTAGTTATGACCTATAAAACCCTATATGGCTCAGGTCCAAGCTATTTGGCAGATCACATTTCCCTGTATGAACCTGTCCAGGCTTTGAGATCCACAGAAGCCCTTCTCTCAGTCCCACCACCATAGCAATCACAGTTGATGGGGATCTTGGTGGATTAAATGGCTTCATATAGATTTTGTAGCTCCAACATCCCATAACTATTCCTGGTTCTTCTATTTCTAAGTGTCACTTTCCTCCAAGTATCTACCTCCTGTGTTGGGGAGTGACCTTCTCCACAGAGACATTGCCTGTATGCTTCTTCTGCAAGACAGTCTCCTCTGCTGATTCCAAGACAACCTCTTCCTCCCTAATAAGTTGGAGTGTGGATACATGGACCTCAAGGCATGGCATGTTCTCGTCTACGAGGGCTAGTAGCTTGGACTTGCTGCAAGTATAACTATCCACACTCTTGGGCAAGAACACAAACATGCCACAGCTACTGCAGGTGTTAAAATGAGCTCCGTCACCATCGATTTTTAGTAGTCCTAAGTAGAAAATGGAAGTTCAAAATTCTCTAAGATTAGTTTTCCAAGGGCATGTATAAAGGACCTCAAAGCACCATTAAAAGTATTTTCATGGGTCATTACAAGGGAAAATCTGATTTGGTAGTACTTCTAGGAGTTACAGCTTATCCACATTTTGTAATGGGACCATTCATAAAATTGAAAAACAAACAATGACTATTTCTAATGTTTATCCTTACAAAATCCCTAACCCAGGCACACGATATCCGTGCCAGATGGCACGGATACCTATGGTATAATAAAAGAAAGGTGGAGAAAGCCTTCACTAACCATTACATAAGAGCAGCCCTGATTAGAACATGGGAAAAATACAAACCCAGGTTATATAGGAGAACTCCACTATGGATATCCCCAACAGAGGCCAAGCATAAAAGGGAACTGGAGGAAAAGAATTGGCTGACCTATAAACAACTACTAAAGAAAAATGAGGGTGGAGAATTAAAGTTAAAATCTTTGGATGAACTAAAACAGATCAACAGGAAGATATCATGGTTAAACTACCATCAAATATACCAGGAATATAAAGAAGATAGCAAATATGGTTTCAGTCTAGATCAAGGAGTATGGGAAATAGTAATGGAAAAGAAAAGGAAATTAATAAAAATCATTTATCAACAATTACTTACATGGTCCACGGAAGAAGAACAAATTAAAAATTGTCAGGTGGAATGGGCTAAAGATATAGGACATAGTATACTAACAAAGCAATGGGAAAAGATTTGGACAATAAAAATAAAATATTCTGAAGCCAGCGACCTACGAGAGAATTGGTTTAAGATGTTTTATCGATGGTATTTTACACCAGAAAAAATATCAAAATTTAATAAAAGTGGCTCAGATTTGTGCTGGAAATGTGGTAAGGAAAAAGGAACCTTCTTCCACCAATGGTGGACTTGTAAATTAGTCAAGAAATTCTGGAAGGAGGTACATAAGGCAATGCAAAAAATTATAAAAGTCAATTTCCCCCAAACACCAGAAACATATCTATTAGGAATTACAAACATAAAATTAAACGAAAACCAAGAGAAAATAATCTTTCTACTCAGTACAGCTGCGAGAATATTACTTGCAAGAGTCTGGAAGTCCAAAGACGTCCCGACTATAGAAGAATGGTATATTAAAATCTTAGATATTATCCAAATGGATAGTCTCTCCCAGAAATTAAAAGGATTAAATAAACATACAAATTGGTCAGGTGTTAAAGACTTTATCACACTTAAGGATCTCCCTGTACAAATCAACTTGACTTACATATGAAGAAAGAAAATACAGAGGACAACGCTGACATGGAAACACAAGAAACAGCAGAAAATAAGGATTCCTGGAAGACTGACGGGAAGCAACCTCCCACCTTTCCCTCCCCTCTGTTTTTTTCCCTCCCCCCCCCAACCTCTAACACCCTCCTCACCCCTCACCCCTCAACCCTTCCCGATACCCATCCCCTCACACTACCAATCTGACCCACACCCCCTATCTCTCCACTACCCCCGATGTATGTATATAGTATGAAAAACCCCAATAAAGAAATTATAAAAAAAAAAAATCCCTAACCCAGGCATGACCAGTTACCTAAGTTAGTATTTTAATAAAAATAATATTTTTATGTCTTACCCGCCTCTCTTCATGGCTCGAGGCAGGGTGCAACATAGATAAAACTCAGCAGGGAGAGCCAACATTTGAACAATCAGGCTTTCATAAACACACTGTGTATGTACACAAGGTGGTTGCAGACAACTGGATACAATTTCACCTTCAGAATGAGGAAAAACATATAATCCTATATAACATTTAGATTTCAGGAAGGCCCGGATCTAAAGGTTTATTTTTTTTTCATTTGGTGATTTAGCAACTGCATAATGTAATGATGTACCTCTTCCACTTCTGCCCACAAATCTCAGGTCATTAAACCGTGCCACTTGATTCTTCATTACAGCAGAGGCATTCCTGAGCTCAGCAGAATAGTTTTCATCATTTCCAGCCATGACGGTGACCACAGTCCCATCAGGGACTTCTCCTAAGGCCACCACCTGTGAAAGAAAAAGCACAATAATAACCTCTTCAAATTATGTGGCTCTTAATTTCAAGTCCACCCTTGTTTTTTGAGAAAATATCTTGTTTTCAAACCATACAAACAATCACCATATGAAGTAGGACAGTGGAGCTATGCTCATTAACAACACTGCTAGATCTCTCTTGGCAGTTGTCTTGCTACCTGTAGGTTGCAGCTATTGGTGAGCCCACATATATAGTTAGGTTCTTCTCTCTTCTTCTGCATGAGGCAAAATCCTATGTACATACATTGCAGTCAAACGGATGGGGGCATTAACAAGATATACTCATGCTCCACACCACTGCATAATTCAGCTACCCAAACTGGGTTAGCATTAAGGCGAATCAGTACATTACCATCTTGCATCAAATGGCAATGCAAGTGTTGCCAAGATCACATGGCAACACCAGGATACAGGACCACTCACTCACTCACCAACTCACTTGAATGCCCATCTATCCACTCAACCAATCCCTTCCAAGAATGTCATGGTAAGTAAAAAGGACTAAGGGCCCTTATATACCGACCATATAATGCAGTTTGAAGCCAGCTCAAGTGTAGGGTGTCTACATAACATACACCCCAACGTGTGTTGCAGTGTACCTCAAACCAGAAACAGTACATTAAAAACATCATAAGAATAAGCCAGATAATGCACCACCATTCTATGTCCAAAAGATTAATGTGTAGATTTTATCAATGTGAGTTTAATATGATATGTGGGAATGAATGGAAGAATGGAAGATGAATGGATGTATGGAGCTAATAATTTTGGAAACACCAGTAAAAGACCCAGGCCTGCAATAATTAACTATCTGCTTTCTGGACTGCAATTAAAACCTGCTAATAAGAATTGAAAAGTAAACTCTGATAAGAACTGGGACAGGGATAACAGAAATGTTTGCAACATTCTTTATGTTAAGAAGGAAGTCAACACAAGCCTTGTGTTTGTCAACACCAATCAAGAAGAGTCAACATCTGGCCAGGAAACTGAGATGGATTCAGGACGGAAGATGTCTATCATTAATTTACAACTTTGGGATGACATCAACAGAATATTCCTATAAAAGACTCAGTCTAATAATGCTCAAAGTGTGGCAGACAGAGACGTTGTTCACCCGCTATACTCTGCTCCATGGGAAGGAGAGAGATAGTGTATCATGGAGTGGCAGATTTGCAAGGGAGCAGTCTGGTCACTTTGGCCTTCTTTCTCAAGGGAAGAGGAAAAAGTGTGCTTTGGAGTCTTGGATTTTGTGCAGGGAGTCAGGTTCTGCTGTATAGAAAACAGAGATCTGGTCCTTGGCATTGTTCTTAGGGAAGAAGTTTTGGCGACAATTTTTATGCCTATATTTTGTTTTGTTAATCTTATGGTTATGTTGTTTTTTTTTTTACTTTATATTTTTTGTAATGTTACCTGGGAACCACTCTGAGTCCCCTTGGGGAGATGGAGCAGTATATAAATAAAGTTTATTATTATTATTATTATTATTATTATTATTATTATTATTATTATTATTATGGCATTTTGAAATTATGGCGTTATGGAAGTTTTGGAACTGTACATTGGAAGGCTGCAGGAAAGCAGGGTCTGGCCTAACAGGTGCTTCACCAAGGAGGGAGAAAAATGATATGGTAATATTTAAATGCCTGAGGATGAATGTGTGTACATGTGGTGTGAATGCTGAGTGAAAATGTAATTCCCCTTTGTTTGTTTGTTAGCCATGTAATTATAAATCCAATGTAGTTGCATATAATCTATATGTCTCTATGTCTAATGTCATTCTTTGTCTAAATGTTTTTCTGTAATCTGATATACCCTCCCACACTGGAAATTGCAATAAAAAGAATCTATGCTTTAAAGTTATTAAAAAGTCATTCATGACACTGTAGCTGACTATTGTATAACCTATGCATGGCTCACAGCCAGGACCAGAAAATCCGGAGTGCTTATAAGGACACTGTGGACACTGAAGCACTTTAAAGAACACCAAAACACAACTGGCTGGGGGTGAGCAAGGACTCACAAGTGACTAATTACTCCCCTGGAAGCAAAAAGCACATAATTCCCATGAGAACTCATGCACTGCCATGGTTCAATACTGATCCTGAGTGAACATGAATATGTCTAGCCAGCCACAGATACTGAAGTTCCTGGGTTGACTCGATCGATCCACAATCAGTGGATACTGTGGCAACCATTAGTTTATTTTAATCCACTTCTGAACTGGAAGGCAGTGTGTGTGCACAAAATGCTCTTAGTTTTGTGTTAAGAAAGAAAAAGAGGGAAACAAAACTGTATGCTTTCAGATGATAGAAGACTGGAAGACTCTGTGCTTAACTTCTATAGAGAAAAATACTAAGCTTTTAATCTTTAGGGGGGAGATATCTTTGATCACTCAGTAAAGTCTCTTCCCCCACAATAATAAAATTATAATATACGAGCTTCACAAGTTATCAAGTTTTGGCTAACATTGAGCTTTTTAAAGTCTGAAGAGTGATTTTTCTTCAGGAAACATTGTCTAATACTATTCAAAGTTGCCTTCCACTTCCCAGACACGCAGGGTGCAGAGAAGAGAGAAAAGCAAAGTCAGAATGTTAGAGTCAGTTGTCCCTGTCAAGTAGAAATGGAATTGCACTAGGAAAATCTTTATTTATTTATTTATTTATTTACGACATTTCTATGCCGCCCTTCTCACCCCGAAGGGGACTCAGAGCGGCTTACAAGGTATATATACATACAATATATTATTAACATAGTACAATATCAGTTTTAAATATTGCTATATTGCACTATATCAATTATACTGTAATATTATTAGTAATATTACATGTAATATAAATATATAATTATAATAGCATATTATTAATAGTAGTATTATATATATTGCATTACATTAAAGGTAAAGGTAGTCCCCTGATAATAAATAAAGTCATGTCTGACTCTGGGGTGTGGTGCTCATCTCCATTTCTAAGCCGAAGAGCCAGCGTTGTCCGTAGACACCTCCAAGGTCATGTGGCCGGCATGACTGCATGGAGCGCCGTTACCTTCCCGCCGGAGCGGTACCTATTGATCTACTCACATTTGCATGTTTTCGAACTGCTAGGTTGGCAGAAGCTAGGGCTGACAGCGGAAGCTCACGCCGCTCCCCAGAATCGAACCTGTGACCTTTCGATCAACAAGCTCAGCAGCTCAGTGCTTTAACCCACTGTGCCACCGGGGGCTCCTATTGCATTACATTACAATATTATAAATATTATATGTATATACAATATATTATATATTATATTATAACATATTATTAGAATAGCTTCTTGCATTAGCTGCATCCCGGTGATCCTGTGTTCTTCCCACAGCCTTAAATCTACAAGATCAGTTAGGAGAATATATATTTTGTTGTAGTAGCCTTCTGGAGATCAGCAGGCTAGAAATCTTTCTATAAGCATATTATGTCTTGACCAGTTATTTAAGATTGGAGTTGAGACTGAATTATTTAGAAGCAACCGAGGATGGATGGCCATCTGTCAGGGGTGCTTTGATTCTACTTTTCCTGCATGGCAGGGGGTTGGACTGGATGGCTCTTGTAGTCTCTTCCAACTCTATGATTCGATGGTTCTATGTGAAACAGGGTTATATTGGTCCCACAACAGTCACCTCTCTGTGCCATTGAGTTACTTGACTCCCCATCTCTCCATCCGCAGATGTACAAAAGCCCCCATTTCACCAGAGAAATTGTAAATGTCATGGAATGCAAAATACAAATTAACCAGTTTTTCCTTGGCAGGCAGAAGTTGCCTCCTGAAATTATTTTGGACTTTACCATGTTGCTTCCAAAACAAAAACAAATCACAAACTATGTAAATCTGCACTGCCCACTTCAAGTATGGATCGGAAATATAAAACTACACAATTACAGCATTTACTAACAATTTAATTGCTACAACTCAATCATAATGGACTGACTCCCATGATATGATGTTTGTTGAAGCCTTAAGAGACTGACAGGGAAATCTAAATACTTTGTGAAAATACTTGAACTACCCAAACTAAACCCACAATTTATGGAGCGATTATTTAGTTCTATATATTTGAGGAAAAACATATATAAATATAGTTAATTAAATTAAAGATTTAACATAACCAAGCCTCAAACTGTCTTTTCAAAGTTCATACCTCTGATCTCATTCTAGAAGAAGTTTAATGTAAAGTTGAAGGCATTTGCTTTGTGCAAAACAAGGTAAAATGACCAACATATTCTAACATCAAACCAAAATTATTTCAAATATCTTGGGTTGGATTCAAACTCAGAAATGACCCACTGAAATCAATTTAAGTATGGATCCACCACTTCGAAACAAATAAATCATAAAGGTGGGGATACCAAGGTGCTTGTTTATAAAGCTATTGTCCTTCCAACCCTGCTATATGCCTGCAAAACATGGACTGTCTACAGACCTCACACTCAACTTCTGGAACGATTCCATCAGAGCTGCCTCTGAAAAATTCTGCAAATCTCTTGGGAAGATAGGCGGACAAATGTCAGCATGCTGGAAGAAGCAAAGACCACCAGCACTGAAGCAATACTCCTACACTGGACTGGCCACATTGTCCGAATGCCTGATCACCATCTCCCAAAGCAGTTACTATACTCTCAACTCAAGAATGGAAAATTGAATGTTGGTGGACAGGAAAAGAGATCTAAAGATGGGCTTAAAGCCAGCCTTAAAAACTGTAGCATAGATACCGAGAACTGGGAAGTCCTGACCCTTGAGAGCTCTAACTGGAGGTCAGCTGTGATTAGCAGTGCTGCGGAATTTGAAGAGGCATGAATGGAGGGTGAAAGGAAGAAACTTGCCAAAAGGAAGGCACATCAAGCCAACCCTGACCGGGACTATCTTCAGTCAAATACAAACTAATTGACTAAACTCTAAAGAAGGTCCAAATGGCCATGAACAAAATGAACCACAAACAGATGTAAT